TCACTTTCAATCCCTAAAACTGGCTTCTGACCTTTTTTTCTCTTTGGTAATTTGACTAATTGCTTGTTTTAGTACTGCTCTTTTAAAAAATAACCTGGTGATGTAATTCTAATTATGAATCCCTCTGTTGGTAACACCTTTTGGCAATTTTCTTTTCATGACATTCAGGATACTGCAGGTGAAAATACCTCTTTTAAGATTTTTTTGCAGGGCCGGGTGGGCGGGGGGAGGAAGCTCATGTTTAATGTTGTGGCCAAAATTTAACAGCTGATTAATGTAATTGTTTTTCATGGATTGGCTTTTAGCTGTTCTGTGAATTCCCTAAAGTCATATGCAAATTTTTGCCCATACATACACATCTGGAAAAAAGGCTAACATTTTATCATTCTTAAAATGGGTTACTGTCTACAAAATGATTAAGAACCACTGGGCTCCAACTCCTTCAGAAAGTATTTATTCATCTATTAATTCAACACATTTACTGAGTGCCTCTACTAGGCTGGCAACTATGTTGACACTCTGCTTCTAATCTAATGAAAAACTGTAGGTTCTGGGTTTAGCAAGGTAATAAATAACACCTGAGTTTATTCTTTGGTTAAGTTCTCCGAGGAAGATAAACATTAGGTTGAAGACATAAAAGCATGGTCTACTAAGCTGCTGACTCCTAAAGTATATCAACGACTATATGCATATCTTAAATCTCACTGATGAAATATATTGGAGCAGTTCACATATTTACCATGTGTTAAACCTGTTGCTATTGAGTCAATTCTGACTCATAGCGACCCTACAGGACAGAGAAGAACAGCCCCATAGGGTTTCCAAGGCTGTAAATCTTTACAGAAGCAGACTGCCTCATCTTTCTCCCACGGAGCAGCTGGTGGGTTCCAAATGCTGACCTTTCAGTTAGCAGCTGAGTGATTAACCACTGTGCCACCATGTCTTTTTACCATGTGCTAAGCCTGGCCAAATCTATTTTGTTTCAATCAAAATGAAATCAAGTTTTATTGAAGTAATAATCCTCATTTCAAAAAGCTGAAGTTAAAAAAAAAAAATTGTTATTGTTAGATGCAGTTGAGTCGATTCCAACTCACAGCAACCCCATGTAACAGAGTAGAACTGTGCTATAAGGTTTTCTAGGCTGTAACCTTTACAGGAGCATATCAGCAGATCTTTCTCCTGCAGAGCCGCTGGGTGGGTTCGAACCACCAACCTTTCATTTAGCAGCCAAGCACTTAATACATCTAACGGAATGCCAAGCTAACAAAGGTTTCCCAAACATTCTTTGCCCATAGCACTTTGACATGGATACATTTTAGTGCATTTTATATTCTTGTCTTTTAAAATTGAGCTCTGTAGTAAATAATTATGTATCAGATCTCAGTAATGCTGTAAAGACCAAGATGTGGCAGGAAATTTTTTACTTCCTGTGAGCAAAGAACTGAACAATCTAAACTTTTTTTTTTAATCAAGCCTTTAGTTACATCTTACACACCTTGATTACTTAGCTAACAGAGTGTGTTTCACAGTGTTTTCCTAAGAATCCTATAGCTCAAAGAAATATATTATTTGCAATAATCAAAATAACTGAAGAAAAGAACAGTCATAGGCTAGTTTAATTTGTATGTTTCATCTCTACCTATTCCCACAATACTATGGTATCAAAACTCTAGATCAGAAGACAATATACGTGTAATGACAACCTCAAAAATCATTTTATAGGAGTCTTATCCATATTATTAGGTGGATGTGCATGTCAACAGATATTTACATTCGAAGAATATTTACATTCAAGGGAGAATACAGTTTTGTTTTCAACATTACTCAACATGCTTACACATCTGAAAAGAAGATCTTAACATTTTATCATTCTTAAAATGGGTTACTGTCTACAAAATGATTAAGAACCACTGGGCTCCAACTCCTTCAGAAAGTGTTTATTCATTTATTAATTCAACACATTTACTGAGTGTCTCTACTATGCTGGCAACTATGTCAACACTCTGCTTCTAACCTAATGGTTCTAATCACACTGCTTCTAATCCAATTTAATCTGGATGAGAGTATTGAGACTACAGTGGTCAGGTTTGCATATGGCACAAAGCCTGGCTAATTCCAAAGTGTGACTAATACCATGGAGAAGTGAAATGGAACTTAAATGACCAAGAGCAATCAGAACCATCCATCTAAAGAGTACGAACTCAAAAATGGACAAATACAAAGAAATATGGCAGGGAATAATTATAACGGGAAACAATAGGTAGAAGATGGCTTGTCACAAAAGTGACAGAAAGACAAAGCTGAACACAAAAGTCAATGATGTAGTGCATTATGTTTTTTTTTTTTTTAAAATTGAGATTACTCTGTTGAAGCAAATGACAACTTGGGATCCTCAGGTCCCCTTTTCCAATTGTCATTGCAAAAGGGAAAAACAAATTATTGCATACTACAATTAAACAAATATTTCTAGAAGAAATGCACTTACTTAACGCCGTCACATTCTTATCAATGCAAAAAAGTTGATTCCAACTCAGAACCCTATAGAACAGCAGAACTGCCTATAGGGTTTCTAAGGAGTGGCTGGTGGATTCTAACTGCCAACCTTTTGGTTAGCAGCTGAACTCTTAACCACTACACCACCAGGGTTTCCGTGTATATGGAAGTGTTTCTTTAATGTTTTTATGCATAGAAAAGTACACTGTATACTATATGTTAAGACAAGCATTTGACTGACATTAGATACCAACCATACCTAACTGTTCTGACTTAACACACAAACTCGACTTAAAAACAGATTTAGGAGTGGAACTCGTTAGTAATCTGGGGACCGCCTGTAAAAGAGATGTAAGAGTCATGTTTTCTATATAAAATTGAAGTGCATAATAAAAAGTTCTGAAACAGCACCAAGCTTCTATTAAGGGTGATGGAAAAACTTGGAATGGTAATGGTTGAACAACATGATGAACATATTTAATGTCAGTGAACTATACATGGGAAGACTGCTGAAATGGCAAATATTTTGTTACCTATATATTTACCACCCCCCCCAAAAAAAAAAAAAAATCAGAGACAGGTCTGAAAGAATAAGAAAAAACAGAAAACTGGACCTACAACAAGAAGTCAAAGGATTTGAAGTTTATAGATGAAGAAAAAAATTCCCGCTCTTGGGTAATTCAGTACCTACTTCAATGCTTGACTACTATTTATCCTCTGATCATATGACTTGCACTTCAGCCTCTCCTTACCCCTCCCTCTTACCTTCTCTTTAATTGTCTAAATCCTATATATCCTTCAAAGCTGGAAATTCAAGGGCCAACTCCCCCATGATGTCCTTCACTGACTAAACTAGCTCTTGTTACTTCTCCCTTCACTGTACCAATTGTGGATTTATTCATTCACTTGGTGCTTTACATATATCATACTGTATAGCTGACTTTTTATAAGCATCCATCCTTTATCTCCAACTAAATTTTTAACTTTGAATGCAGGGACAATGTCTTATTTTTGTCTAACTAGATTTGTGCACACTGTAGATACTCACTTGATGTTATTAATTATGGTATGAGAATCCTGCCAGAGCATCTTTCAGTTCCAGGGACCAGAATATGAGTGCATGCACCTAATATCCATCTAGGCAAGATTTAGACAGACTCCAGCATACTAATAAACACTGAAATAAACCACCAGAGATGGTATGGATTCACTGTGTTATTTACCTTAAATAGTCCAGTGCTTGTGCAGGGGTGGGAGATAGGGTAAAACTTGATACTCTATTGATGTCCCTTCGAGTTTTATGACTGTGACAAAGGGGACAGCTGGAGGGGAGAAAGTTTAAAAACCCAAAACAAATGTTTTCAGATTCTTGTTTGGGATGTAAGTGACTGGAGCCCTGGTGGCCTAGTGGTTAAGAGCTAACGCTGCTAACCAAAAGGTCGGCAGTCTGAATCTACCAGTAACTCCTTGGAAATCTCATGCGGCAGTTGTACTGTATCCTGTAAGGTCGCTGTGAGTCGGAATCGACTATGTAAATGACTAAGACAACTCCAGTTTCCCCACTCATTCAGCAACCAAAAAAAAAAAAAAAACAACCACTGCCATCGAGTTCATTTCCACTCATAGCTACCCTACAGGACAGAATTGAACTGCCCCAGAGGGTTTCATAGGCTGTAATCTTTACAGAAAGGCGCACTGGTTGCGCAGTGGTTAAAGCGCTCGGCCGCCAACCGAAAGGTTGGAGGTTCTAACCCACCAGCTGCTCTGCGGGACAAAGATATGGCAGTCTGCTTCTGTCAAGATTACAGCCTTGGAAACCCTACGGGGCAGTTCTACTCTGTCTTATAGGGTCGCTAGGAGTCCCGAATCGACTTGCTGACAATGGGTTTGGTTTTTTGAGTAATTTTTACAGAAAGCAGACTGCCACATCTTTCTCCCGCGGAGCGGCTGGTGGGTTCGAACCGCTTACCTTTCAGTTAGCCGCCCAGCGCTTAACCACTGTGCCTCCAGGGCTCCTGCTCATTTACCAACACCGAGTGCCAACTCGGTGCGGGCCATGAGCTAGGCACTGTAAATATAAAGTTTTGGTCCCTGCTAGCAGTGTCGAGTCGCAAAGAAATGACGACTTCAACGAGGAAAGAACAAAGCGCCGAGGAAACACCAGAAAGGGGGCTTCCTGGTCATGATTCATGGGGTAGGGGCCTGAGAAATATCCCAAAGGCGAAGTTCTCGCAGATGAAGAGAAGCCGACTGGACCGACCGGGATGGGGCTTCGGCGTCCGGGAAAAGAGAACTGGAGGACCCCAGACCCGGGGTAGGGAGCGATGGTCAAGTACTTGCAGGAGAGCGAAGAGTCTGTGACGCTGAGGGGAGGGACGTGGCAATGTACGAGGCGGGAAAGAAATGGCGGTTTGGGGAAGGGCCCCGACCTGGGAACTGTCTTCTTCTTCAGGGGTCCCTCCCAACCTCCCCGGCGGGCCACTGGCCCGGACAGCCCTGCGCCTCACCCAAGTGCCCCGAGTCCTGCTTCCGCCTCCGCTGTAACCTCTCCCTCAGCGAGTCCAGCTGCTTTTTGTGGGCCTGGATAGAGCTCCACGTGTCGGACATTCTAGTCTCCCGGCGCGGACGCGTCTCGAATCAGGCGCGGTGGACAAACACCTCCCAGCCCTCTTTTCAGGAAATACCCTCTTCCAACGCGGACACCCCAAAGCTAACCGGAAAGGGATCCCGGGAGCTGTGCAAGAAGAAAAAGCCATTTCCGGTTTCGCGCTCACTTTGAAGCTGAAATCGAGCCACCTTAGGTGTTGGCAGAATGGCGGATACAGTGTATATTCTTTACGGGCGTTCTCTCGTGCTTCCTGGTACGGTGAAGCCGCGGTTGCCATCTTGGTAGTTGGCAGAGCGGCCATGTTGCTTATATACATATGCATGCAGCCATGTTGAATTTTAGGAGATGGGTTCTGCGAGTTGACCGACGTTGATGAGAGCTCTACTAGAATTGCACGTGTAGTACAGATTTTTAAAATGAAGGATCACTAGCTCTTTCACAATTTGGTACTAACATGCGTTTTCCAAAGTGTAGGTTTTTGTCTTCATACATTCATTTATAAAGAAATACCTATTACAGTCGTTCCTAATCTTTCTCTCTCTTCCTATCTCTCCCTCTCTCTCCCTCCCTGTGTTCTCGGTCTTTGGGGTTGGAGGGGAAGGGCTTACTGAGCAGAGATATTATGAGGGATCTACAAATATATATTCTCACTCTTCTTGTGTATACTAAAACTATAAGTATCGTGTAATGGGATTGACTGCTAACTGAAAGGCTTGAGGTTCAGATCCACCCAGAGGCATCCACGAAGGAAGGCTTGTCTATCTACTTCCGAAAAATCAGCCATTGAAAACCCTGTGGAGCACAGTTCTACTCTGACACACATGGGGGTCACTGTGAGTCCGAATTCACTAGATGGCAACTGGGTTCTGGTTTTAGGGGTGCTTCTGAGATTTTGAGGTTCTGATTACGTTGTTTCTTATTCTGGGAGCTGGTTGGAGAGTGTGTTCTGTTTGCAAAAATTAATTGAACTGAACATTTTGGTATATGCACTTTCTGTCTGCAGAGTAAACTGAAATACAATTTTTGTTGAAAAAATGGGGTCTTTTGAATTGACACATTTGGCAACTGGTGATCTATTAAATGCCTACGTGATGCCAAACACTGTGTCAGAAAAAATAGTTTGTAAGGCCTGGCTCCTGTTTTCAAAGAGTTTCTGGTCTAATAAGGGAGTTAAGACCCAGCATAAGGCAGCATGAGCACAGGCTCTACAAAAGAAAAGTGATTGCAAAGAAGAGTGAGGACTTAAAGCTCAGATTATTGGGAAAATCACTAGAAAGAAGATGGCATCAAGTTTCAGATTTGAACTGACAGTAGGAGAGAATTCCAAGCTAAGGACATGATAAAAACAAAGGTCTAGACTAAAGTTAGGAAAGCATGATGTGTGTTCTGCTAATCCAGATTAGTTCACTAGAATATTGAGATTTATATTTGGGAATATTAAGAGAAAATTTAGGTTTCCAGATTGGAGACTTGATTGCAGAAGAGCCTGCAGTTTATTCAGAATACAATAGGGAACATTTAGAGTTTGTGAATAAGGAGTGCTTTAAGATAATCTGGTGTTCTTGATGGATTGACGCAGGGAGGAGAGAGAGTTTGGAGATGGAGTGTTATGGATTCAACTATGTCCCCGAAAATATGCATTGAAGCTCTGGTTGTCTGTACCTTCGGATATGATCCTGTTTGGAAATAAGGTTTTCTTTTATTATGTTAATAAGATCATGCCAGAGTAGGGTGGGTCCTAAATCTAATCACGGGGAAGACAGATGCCAAGGAACATCAACGAATGCCAAGAATCACTGGCAGACACTAGAAACTAGGAGAGAGGCTCCCAGAAGAAATCAACACAACCAAGAGCCTGATTTGGACTTTTAGCCTCCAGAACTGTGAAAAAATAAATTTCTGTTTTTTAAAACCAATCAATTGTGGTATTTGTTATGGCAGCACTAGGTAACTAAGAAACAGGGAAAATGGTTAGTAGCCTATTAAAACTAATTGTTTGATTATAAGACCTTAAACTAACACAAAGCCTGGCTATGGATAGTAATGGAAAGGAAGGGGTGAATATGAAGAAGGGCTGTGTGTGTGTTGGAATGTGAAGTTCCATCTATTTCTTTGGCAAATATTTATTGAATGACTACTATGTGCTAGGTAGTGTACAGATTAAGTAGTGATCAAAATATTTCCATCTCCTTTTCTAAACTTAATTTACTTAATAAGGAACTATCTTTTGAGATGCGTAACTTTGTGTCTGAGCAGTGAGGTAGAAGACACAGTAGTAAACTATGGGCTCCTATAAGCATCTCTGGACATTTAATCCTCAGGATTACATTTAATCCTGGAAGCAAAATACCCTTGGGAGAGTTGGCTCATGTGAGATCATGCAAGATTACTCAAGCAGACTGCTCTACCTAGAAATTTTGCTTCCTTTAATGACTTGGGGCTGGTAATCGTCTATAGAAAAGTTGACAAAGGGCTCTTTTTGCTTTAAAGACAGGATTCCAAAAGTTAAGCCCTAAACATTATAAGCATTTTTGTCTAGGAAAGGGAGGATTTTCTACAGGGAGAGACTCAGTTTCTGGTAAAATGTGGGATACCTAAGGCCTGGATTGTCTCCTCTCACCTACAAACGAAGCCAAAGAAGTCACATCCAAAAAAAAAAAAAAAAAAAATTAAACCCCTTGCCATCAAGTTGATTCCAACTCATAGTGACCCTACAGGACAGAGTAGAACTGCCCTAGAAGGTTTCCAAGGACCACCTGGTGGATTTGAACTGCCAACCTTTTGGTTAGCAGCCATAGCTCTTAACCACTATGCCACCAGGGTTTCTAAGAAGTAGCACAGGTACTCCAAATTGAGGTCAGCCAAATCAAGGGCAGCTACCAGAAGTGTTTGTTTACATACTCACTGCGTAAATTATTACTCTAGTGGCACAGTGGTTAAGTGCTCAGCTACTAACTGAAATGCTGGGGGTTCAAATCCACCAGCTGCTCCTTGGGAGAAAGATGTGGCAGTTTGCTTCCATAAAGATTTACAGCTTTGGAAACTATGGGGCAGTTCTACTCTGTCCTCCAGGGTCACTATTAGTCAGAATCAACTTGATGGCAATGGGTATTACCATAGTAAATTAGGCAAATTTTAGGAGCATGTGAGGGCCACTTGGCATAATCTGCTTATAGAGGGACTCTTTCTAGACTCCTTCTGACCAGTTTTCTGCTCAAAAGAAAGCCAGGTGTTCGTGTGCTCACTGGTAGCCCACCACTTACAATCCTGAGCAATGCAGGGAGAAAGGAGGGAACCTCACTCAGACCTCTTCTAGTCAGAGTGTAAGCCTGGTCGGGACCATGTAAGTACTGCATGCATTGCACTTGTTACCTTTTCCTCGTATCTGTTGTGGTAGATTGTTTCCAGAGCTAGCCACACAATGCCTCCCATCCCATATGCCCTTATGCAGTGTGACTTTGCCATTCTTCCCATCAAGAGTTAAGGCTTATTTCCCCTCCTTTTGAATTTGAAACGGTGTTGTGACTAGCCTTGGCCAACAGACTGGCAGAAGTGATACTCCCTGAGTTGCAGAGCCCAGGCCTTAAGAGGCATTTCAGCTTCCCCTTTTGCCCTCTTGTAGCCCTAACTTTCATGGAGTCCAGTTAGATAGACCTGGAAGATAGACCACTAATAGATAGACCTGTATTAGCCCTAATTGATAGACCACTTAAGAGATGCTGGAGGTTAACAGAGCAAAAGGAGAGAGGTTCCAGCATCCTGGTTGAGGGATCAGAAGTGAGTGAGGCCATCTTTATTCTTCCAGCCCAAATCACAGCTGCCTGAGGGAGCTCAGCCCTCACATGGAATGGAGACAAGCCAACCTAGCTGAGCCCTGTCCAGACAGCTCATGGAATCATAAGCAAATACATAATTATTGTTTAAAACACTAAGTTTCAGGCTGGTATGCTACACAGCAGTGGATTACAGAAACGCCCACAGTACTGACCGAATACTGCACTTCTTCTTTGGCTGTCCTTTTTTTTCCTTCTTCTTGTCCATACTGTTTTTTACTATTTGATGGGCAGCAAAATTTCACTAGGATTAGTCAATCTACTGTTATTAAACTAAAGGTTAGAAAAGACAAATGTAAAGTCAAAGTTGGGTCTAATTCAAAGTAAGACTAGTGTGTTTTGGGGATCCTACCACCATTAAAAAAAAATTTATATTTTCTCTCCTTTTAGACTGAGTTCCCCAAGGGGCAAAAGTGTCTTATTTACCTTTATACTTAACACTTGATCTCTGAAGCAAAGTAAATCCTGAATGAATGAGTGAAGAAGCTGTCTCTTGCTTCTTATAATAGTGATGCTTTTAATTCAGGTTAAAGTGGACTGTGTTTATTTCATGTAAAGTTAAGTGTTTTGCAAGCTGCAGTTACTCACATACTCATTCCAGTAGATTAATTTACCTTCTAAAAAGATGATCTAATGAAGAGTGATTAAGAAATGGTGGGGCTAGGGTAGGTTGCAGGACAGAAAAAATTAAAAAGCTCTAAGAAGAATAAATCAAGGGCAAAGAGAGAAAAGAAATAGCAATAAAGGCTGTCAGATAAGAGAGGTCAATGAAAGACAAGAAAAAGCAGGAGGATGGAAAAAGAAGAATGAAAAGGAGGCAGCAGAGAAAATAAAGTAGAGCTATGAAAAGAGGGGAAAGGGGAGTCAGGCTTAGTGCTGACCTGCCCAAGGAAGTGTCCATCAATAGAAGCCTCACTGACAGCTCTTACCATAATGGGAGCTGGCACCTAGAGAGAGGACAAGTCTAGTTTAATTAGTGAAATGGCATTATCTATGACCAGTGGGGGATGGGGAGAGTAAAGGAATTGAAGGATTGGTGACCCACCTCCTCCAAAGGCTGAAACGAAAAACAGATTTACAAAGCTTTTAAAGAATTAAAGATACAGGAGCTATTTCTTCCCCATTTGGCCTCACAAGATTCCCATGGGTTCCTACTCACCAATTATATCTTAAAGGGGAACTATACTGCTTTGGTAAGGGCAACTAGAATTAAACATCAGTTTACCTTAAATTGAGTCAATAGGTTTACTCACCTCCTTCCCTTCTGTCTTCCACCCAGCCTCAAGTCAGGCGTCTTTAGTGATGTAGCAGGAAGCTGTGGACCATCACTGACCACTGGAAGTAGCACTATATTGGGATTCTGGACCTGGATCCTCAATCCAACTTTGCCACTAATTGGCTGAGTGACTGTGCAAATCATTTTACCAGCCCTGTCTCTTTAAAACTAAGATTCAATGATATTATAATCTTCCAAATGAAAAAATAAATTCTGGAGAATGTTCTCTTTCAGAAAGCAAGGTCTTGGAGACAAATCTGAACTTTACCATGTTGTGGAAAGATTGAAAAAAAGTGTTTCATTTCTCTCCTAAGAATTCTCCTCTATCTTGTTGGTAGAAATTGTTAGGGTTGGCTTTTTTTTTCCTTTCAGCTTACAACATCAGATTTCAAGGATCATGAAGATTAATTCACCTTGGTTTACAGATTAACTGATGTCAGATATGCTACTGGCCTGAGGTGCAAGGAAGACTGATAAAGAAACAGCTTTCAACCTCCCAACAAACATAAAAGCCTGGTGGTGGAAGGTTCTAGTTTGTACTGGCAAAGAAAAAACCTAGACAATGACTGCACACAGTGGGAAAATCCCCTACCTTTTGAGAACACAAACTCCATTTCCACAGGGAAATTAGATTCATTGGAGGTTGTTTTAGGACAAGTCTGAATAAATTAAATATGTCAACACCACACGTTCAGCTTTGGCAGACGTAGGTGGGAAGGGAATCTCAATATTAGGGAATGCCCAAATCACACTCCAGCTGGCTATTTTGTCAAGAAATAAGGAGAAACACACAGATATTTGGTCAAAACACCTTTAATGATAGATGGAAAGACACTAATATCTCCCTTGTCTGCTCTTTACATTTTACTATGTTAGGAAACTTTGGAGCCTACACCTTTGGAGAAGCCATCATTCAAGTCAGTATAGCAGAACCTTTACTTTCTCCTCCTCAGAACTCCTGTTCCAAATGATCCTATGTTAAGAGTAAATACTACATCTCATTACAAGATGGAGAAGCAGGAAGGATACCACCTGGAGTTGGTTTCCCAATGTCTGGGACTCTTAAGAACCAGACGGTGGTAAACACATAGGCCCCAGTTCATAAACAGGCAAAATGGGGAGGAGGAAAGGGGCCTTGAGAGAGGAAGATGAGGAACATACAAGGGGCCAGGGGATAAAGGAGGAAGCTATCTAAAACTAGAACACTAGCACAAGGAAATCCCCCACGATCCCTGGTGCACTGCTGCA